AGTTACATATGTAAGTATATCTATGTACACATCAAACACAAAATACATGTTCTGTATAATAACATCCGTGTAAACTTTGCAGTGTAACCAATCAGGGGGCAGAGCAATGCCCACACATCTCAAGGGAGGTTCTCTGAGCAGCAGGCGTGCCCTGCTCTGAGAAAACCTGAAACACCTAAGCCCAGTCCTACAAAACAGTTACAATAACGGGCAGATATTCACACTATAAAAAGATTCTTTACCTTATAAAAGGATGTACTACATGGTCCCACGAAACTGCCTGGGCTCCACTGCATTTAGAACAGGATTTGATTTGTAGAAAGGCTGTACAGGTACTGTCAACTACATAATCAAGGAGCCACAGTTGAACTGAACTTTTGTTGTTGTTGTATAATGTGATGAACAAAACCAGTTAATTTTATTTGTATCACTATTAATGACTTTCTTTTTCTTTTCTTTATTTCTTTTTTGTTGTTGATAATCCTCACCTGAGGATTTTTTTTTCCATTGATTTCTAGAGAGTGGAAGGAAAGGAAGGAGAGAGAGAAACATCGATGTGAAAGAGATACACCAATTGGTTGCTTCCCGCAAGCACCCTGACCAGGACCAGGGATTGAACCTACAACCCAGGGATGTGCCCTTGACCAGGAATTGAACCTGCAACCCCTCAGTGCATGAGCCGAACGCTCCAACCGCTGAGCCACACCGGCCAGGGCACTATTACTGATTTTCTGTGTGGGATAATATATATGATAGCACCAAATGTTATCGTATTAGTTGAGGCAGGCAATTGATCCAGGGACAAGCAAGGCATTTCCTTCCTAACAGGTTTTTACTGTTAAATGGAGTATTTATTGTCAATGTAAAAAAAAAAAGACCAAAGTATCCATTTTATTAATCCATATAAAGTTTTAAAAGACTGAGTAATAATAATTGCAGGTGATATTATATAGTTCTTACTACATAACTATTCTAAATTTTGACAGGTATTAAACTCATTTCATCCTCTCAATAACTTCATGTGCAGCTACTATGATTACCCTGCGTTATAGATGAGTAAATGGGTTACACTGCCCAAGGTCAGGCGGCAGTAGCTGGAAGACCTGAGATCGCATGCAGGCAGTCTGGATCCAGGGGCCACGCTCTTAACCATCATACTATGCTACTCCCTTGATCTGGCAGTCACGTGCAAGATGGCAAACAGAACAGGGAGAGGTGTGGAAATGGGTGCTACTTAGCCTATTGCCAAAAAAGTTCGGGCACATGGTGCTGAGGACTTGACTAGGCAGTAAAATAGGGGAAAAAAGAAGGAATGATGATTAAAAGGAGGCACAAGGGAGGTTTCTGGAGAACTAGCGTTTCTTGATTTGGGAGCTGGTTATGAGTGTGTTTGGTATGTGAAAACTCATCAAGCTGTACTTATTACTAGTACATACATATTTTCATGAATAAAAAATTAAAAAATGGAAGGATAAAGTTAAGAGGATTTTGATAACATTATTAATGTGTTTTGCCCTCCTCGATTTTCCAAATGATCAAGAATATCCAAGCAAAGTATCATGGAGTTCAGAGGTCATGCAATCACCCATATGGATGATTGGCAAATCTTATCTTCTAGCCCAAGACATCTAGCAGCCCAGACATCAGCTGAGCTACAGACAACATGGCATCATGGTTATAAGAATGGCATTAAGTGTTACACTGCCTAGGCTCAAATTTTGCCTTTGCACCTACTAGATGTCTGATCTTGAACATGCTACTTCACCTCTCTATAAAGCTGGTATAACACAGTGCCTAACTCCCATATGAATGCATAAATAAGTGGAACAACAAATCAGTGTTTTCTCTCTCTCCCTAAATATAGATTTTAAAAAAGAAGAACTCAAAGGAGCCTACAAAAGTTTTTTTTTTTAATATATTTTATTGATTTTTCACAGAGAGGAAGGGAGAGAGATAGAGAGTCAGAAACATCGATGAGAGAGAAACATCGACCAGCTGCATCCTGCACATCTCCCACTGGGGATGTGCCCGCAACCCAGGTACATGCCCTTGACCGGAATCGAACCTGGGACCTTTCAGTCCACAGGCCGACACTCTATCCACTGAGCCAAACCGGTTTTGGCCAAAAGTTTTTTTAAAAAATAAGTTGCAGACATCATGTCATTGCATTCATAAATACTTCAGCTTTTATCACCTATGAACAAGGACATTAACCATAATGCCGTATGTATCATACCCAAGGAATTTCACAGTTGCACAATACAATTATCTAATACACAGTCTACATTTCTATTTTTCCAAGTGCCCTACAAATGATCTTATTTTTTCAATTTAGGATCCAATCAAGGATCATAAGTACATTTAAACTGTCATGTTTCCTTTAATTTAGGATAGTCCCCACCCCTTGTCTTTTTATATCTTTCATAGTACTGACATTTTTTAAAAAGTCTAAGCAGTTGTCTTATAAAATGTCCCACAATCTGGATTTGCCTATTTGCTCAGGATTCAATTCAGATGAAACATTTTTTGAAAAGTGCTACATAGTTGATACTTTATACTTCACACTGCAATACATAAGGAGGTACCTAATAATAATTTGTTCCATTATTTGTGTTGCTACATTTGATCATTTCCTTAAAGTGATAGCCAGCCAAATCTTTTCATTATAAAGAAATTCTTTTTCTCTTTGTAATAAGTAATCTGTGGAGGAATCCTTTGAGTCCTTGTAAATATCCTATTCCCCAACCATCTTTTTATCCAATCTTTTTTATAACATCTGTTGATAATTTGCCTGAATTGATGATCACATTAGTATTGCAAAATGGTCACTAGTGATGTTTACAGTGTTGGTGAAATGAACATTTGCAAACCAAATCCTATTTTTTCACTCACCTACATTATTATTTCATAACTATAATATCATAATTATTTCAGAAGTTCATCTGCGGAATCCTCCTGACAGCGATTCACAACACCTGCCTGTCTTACGTTTCTCTGATCTCTATCCACCTGAGCAAGTACATAAAGTAGAAGCAAACATATAAATGCATTGGCTTAAGCAGTGGGAAAGGAGATACCTGTCTACATAAGCAAGGGGTTGCCTAGTCTTTAGAGCCCTCTTTCCTATAGCAGATCGAATTCCACATCAAGAAAAGTCTATTTCTACACAGACTGTTCTATATGAAATCAGCTTAGGCGTCCCAAGAAGGGAGAGAGGAGACGCAAAGTGTTCAGGCAGTAAACTCTTGGAACAATTTTAAAAGGTTCTTCAAATCATCCCAGGATAGTACCAAATCACATGCACTAGCTGTTCCAGGCAGCCCGCTTCCCCCTGACCCTGTGAATGGTACTTCTTGATCAATAGTTCTTTAGAGCCCAAACAAGCTGCATTAGAATCCCCTAGAACAGTGGTCGGCAAAACGCAGCTCGCGAGCCACATGCGGCTCGTTGGCCCCTTGACTGTGGCTCTTCCACAAAATACTGACTTCTGCGCATGGGCCACGAAGTTTCAGTCGCACTGTATGGGCGCGCCCGCACGTGGTATTTTGTGGAAGAGCCACACTCAAGGGGCCAAAGAGCCGCATGTGGCTCGCGAGCTGCAGCTTGCCGACCACGGCCCTAGGAAGTTGTTTAAGAAACAGATGCCCCAGTCCCACCTCTGACCAACTGAATCAGAGTCCTGCAGAGGACTTTGAGAATAAGTATGTTGACAAGCTCCCAGGGGATCTCATGAGCAGTCAGGTTTGGGACCCTTGCTTAGAGAAGACCCACTGTAGCCTCTAAAATGGGACCATCCCATAGAGCACACAATGGTAGATGGTAGGTAGTATCAGTCCCATTATGTGACAGCTACCCTGCTAATACCTGACTCCCAGGGCTCTGGAATGAGAGTAGAGTTCAACCCAGAGGCTCTACTGCACCAATTTATAGTCCATTAGAGGAGGAGGGGCAGGGGAGGGAGAAGTCACTATACTTAAGAGAAGTTACCAGATCTATAGTTCTCCAAATTTAGTCTCTACCAGAAGCCAGAGTCTGCTGTGGGGCTCAGGAATGTGTGTTTGCAACAAATTCTCTAGGTGCCTTTGATGCAGGGGGTCTGAGGACCACACTTTGAGTGGCCCTGGCCTCAATGCTGCTCTACCCTTATCTATAAGCAGCCAAAGAGTAAAAGAGTTGGATAAAGTGTCTTAGTATACATTTGAGGTTACTTACCAAACCAAAGAAGCAAAATCTGAGGTCATATGGGAAATGTTTCTGAGCAAATAGCCACACATAAACATTCAGATGATATATAACCTTCCATAAAAGATACTAGATTTCACTCCAACATTTCATCCCACTGGAGGACTATAGGCAGGCTGAGACAAGAGTGGGAGACCAAGGTTCCCACACAAAGCCGCACCTCAGGTTTCATGTTAGCGATCTTCAGAGGGCAACAGGAGCACAGGGTCATCCCCCGGAGAACACCTGAATCAAACAATCTTTCTGATGATCGAGTCCTGCCTGATTCCAGCTTCCCCTTCACACTGTGAGAGCAAGCTCTTGGCAATTTTCTCTCTCTCTCTCTCTTCCTGTTCACCCAATCCTTAGTCAAGATTAACCCGTGTGCTTACAGCCCCAGAAACTGAGATGGTTTAGGCCGCTGGCAGCAGGGAGCAAGGACCATGCTAATTATGGAAAATGGGGCAGACGGAGAAGAGCGAATCCGTTCCATGCCAAGTTGGCCTTTGGCTCAATGGGAATCAGAAGCATGGCTGGCAGACTGTAACAAGGACTCAGGGTGTCAGAACAGCAGCACAGACTCTCACTTGCTGCCAGAGGTCATAGTGGCATATCCTTCTCCTCCAGGTCCCAGGTAGCTTTCACCCTCATGGTACAAATGGGGTGTAGTGCTCCCAGGAAAGGTCACTCTGCAGACTCAAAGCATACCTGTGAATTCCCAAAGACAACCAAATCCATGACAGTAAAACCAGCAACCAACCAGCTCTTGGGGCTCTTACCCGATTGGAACACGTATCTGGCCAAGCCCTGCATGAGCTCTGCTGGCCATGTTGGGGGAGCAGACTCCCCTGTTTCTCTCTTCAGACGAAATGTCAACTCGAAGCCAAAACCACTAGGCCCATCTGTTCCTGTGAATCTGAAAGAAATAAAAAGCAAATGTTTTTAGTTCAACTACCTTAGGAAAAAAAAACAACAATACTGTTTTCAAAGTCTAATAAAAGTTCTCCCTTATTCTTGGTGGCCTCAGCATCCAAACCCCTTAGTCAGAGGAATCTCCCATGTGTGAGCCTTCAGGGCAGAAAGGACCTCAATAAGGAACCAGAACTCTAGCCTCACCCTCCAGCCAGCTACAGCACTTGTGTATGACCTTGGCCCAGCCAATCAAATTCCCCTCCTGGCACCCTAAATTATGAGTTCCACATTTTGTGGCTCTGGAACATTCCTTTCTGTGTGATTGAGGGCCTAATCTTCCTTATTCGCGCTCCATATTCCTTCAAGTTGTTAATAAGCACCTACTAAGTCTGCTAAGGTACCAGTCCTGCTGTGTGCTTGTGAGGATGAGACTCTTTCTCTGCTCCCACCTCCACCTTGGCCCACAAGAGTGCAAGCCTTGGCCCAGGCTGGCTGGCCTCCAAACTCAGCATTTGCAGAGAGGTCCCAGGACAGATTCCAAACACTGGGAGGGCCTGCACTTTTTCCTGAAAACCCCATGTGCATTCATTAATCAGCACATAGGATTCCTGAAATCTGGCACCCCACGTGCACTCTTCAATCACTGGAACCTCGAGGAAGCAAGGTTTGCCTTCTCTTCCCATCCCAGGCGGCCCAGATGATCAGAGTTACTGCCTCTGTAGCCACAGCCATCACTGTGATGATGAGGCAAGGAACGCCTGCCTCCCTGTCTGCTAGGAAATGCTCAGGAGCCCCAAGTCTCCAGGGAAGTCCCTGGAATGGACTTCTGCTAGAAAGGGCAATTATATGGATTAGAGAGGAAGGCCTGGTTGCGGGGCGCGGGGATGGGGGGAACACTTCCCTAGGTGAGGGGAGCATCAGGGAGAGTTCCTGAGAGCTCAGGAGGTCTGCCAGCATGGTAAGTGTTAAATGTTAAAATGTGTTCATGATATAATTTTCAGTAATTAGATCTTGTACAAACATGAGCTACAATGATTATACACATGTAAGCTCCTCAGCATACAAATACAAACCATAAACTAAGATGACAGCCCACACCTCCTTGCCAGCCAAGCTACTGGAACAGGCTTGAAACAGAGGGGAGAATTCTGAAGGGATAGTGATAGTCAATGCCCAACCCTGGAATTCCACGTGCCATCTTTCCATCATCATCATTATCACCAACTCCAAGAGACCAGGCCCAGAGACTAGACAGAAAGATATTCAAAGTCTCAGGAGCTCTGACACCACCAGTCCTACCCTGCTGTGTGCCTGGGTGAACTCAGGCTTCCTGCACGTGCTGTGGTGGGGAGATTACCTCTCATAGCTAAGTTCTCTAAAGGACTGAAAAGGAATCCATCCTTAAAGTCACCATGGTCATACCTAATTCTATTCAAAGGAGGTGTTCATGGTTTGCATTTGCTCTGAGCATCTAACAATGTGGGAAACAAAATCCATTTTGAGGATACATGCCTAGAATTTTGGAGACCACGCTAGAAGATGCTTGGCAGGATGCAGTGTAAACTATTTCTTTGCTTGCTGAACTGCCCTGTTTGGGGGCAATGCCATGCAGGAAGGCTGAGGAAACAGCTAAGCAAACTGAGGCTAGAAGAGCTGCTTCCCCAGGGCTGCAGGTAGGGTAGGAGTGTGAAGAGCTGGGGGAATGCAAGACTGACTGGGAGCTAAAACTCTACAAAAGGAGCTGGGTTACTAGGTCAAAAGGAAGATTTCAAGCAGCCACCAATTAGAGGCAGCTTTGTAAAATGTATTAGACGATTACTCCAGGGCTTTCATCCTGGGCCAAGAAAAATACATGATTTCTAACCACAAAAACTTGAGAAACAGACTAAAAGAAACACGTTCCTCGGGATGTGCAATAGGGGGAACCCTTGGATGCAGAGAGAAAAATAATGCATCCAAGCAGCACCACTTTCCTGAGGAGGGTTGCGCACACATGCACACACAGGCACACACATGCACATGTGTACCATCTGCCTCCACACAGGGTGCTTTCTAGGCCAGTCCTATGGTGGGCAGGCCAGCTTTCATGGGACTGACTGGGAGGGGCAGGCCCAGCCAGATGGTCTCCACCTGTGTTTGATTACCACCCACCAGGCTGGCTGGACACAACCTCTAAACTCTGAAACATGAGTTTGGAATGGGCCTGCCTCAGGATAAACACACAACCTGGAGCCTGTCAGGTCTCTTTCGAAGCAGACTGCTCAGGCTATAGCCAAGGGACAGGGTCATTCAGTCTTTAAAGTCCCCTGCAGGGGCCTGGCTTGGTCTGGCTTCCTCAACATGAAAGCTTCTCCAGCCAAAGCTGTTTTGTTTGACCAGAGGATGAAGCCCCTTTTCTAGGAGCAGCTGTCCCTCACATCCTCTGAGAAAGAAAAGATGAGAGGAAACTGGCATGTGTGGCAGAAGGTGGGATCTGGGTTAGAGCAAAAAATTTGTGCTAAAAAAACTAGTTGGTGGAAAAGGAAGCCATTGGAATTTCTTACAACAGGAATTTTTTAAAAAAATACATTACAGTTCTCGCTTTGGCAGCACATATACTAAAATTGGAACGATACAGAGAAGATCAGCACGGCCCCTGTGCAAGGATGACACGCAAATTCATGAAGCGTTCCATATTTAAAAAAAAAAAATACATTACAGGTTCTCCCCAGTCTGGTAGGGAGTGGGTGAGGGGTTCCAATTGTCTTGTTGCAGAAGAATGAATACGATGGCCCCTCAAAATTGTTTCCAGCTAAAGAACTTCTGATCCTGCTCACTGAGATGCCCAGGGGACAGGCTGGCCTTGTCCTAGCAATTTGGTGAGCCTAGGCATAGCTGTGTGAGCCTTTAGAGTAACATCAAACCTGCTGACAGGAAAAACATGTGCCCTGAATTCTAGATATAGTTGCCCAATCCCTGGAACCTGCCCAAAGGTCTGTCTCAAAGCATCTGACTAAGAAGGTATCACTCGGCCTCCAAGAGGCCAAAATGACCACTAACGTCAGGCAGAAGATGAATAGCAGAGATTTTCCTGACCTTGAATTCCTCCCAGAGCCCTCAAATTAGGCCTTGGATTCTTCCTGACTGCTACCATACTTTGAGTGACAGCCATTATTACAACAGAATTCAGTAAACAATTATTAAATAAATATTTGCAAAGATGATGTTTTTATTTTTAACAGTTCACAATTATTGACACTTCATTAGCTATTTTGAAATGGTGTTTGGTAACTACAAAAGTACTATATACTATGTGTAAAATATTATAAAATTCTTTTGAAATATGTTTATAGAGTAATTTTCTGACATAGCTACGATTTTTTAAGATTCCAGCTATAGTATATTAATTTTATATAATCTTAAAAAAAGAAAGAACGTGCCCTGGCCGGTATGCTCAATTGGTTGGAGTGTCGTCCCCTGAAAGGTAGCTATCTGATTCCTGGTCAAGGCACATATCCAGGTTGCAGGTTCAATCCTTGTTCAGGGCACATTTGGGAGGCAGCCGATTGATGTTTCTCTCTTCCTCTCTCTCTCTTTCTTTCTCTAAAATCAATTTTAAAAAAATAGAAAACAAGGTGGTAAGGGGTTTGAGGGTCTGGGGGAAAAGGTGAAGGGATTAAAAAGTACAAATTGGAAGTTAAAAAATAGTCACAGGGTTAGGTGCAGCATAGAAAATATAGCCGATATTATTGTAATAACTATGTATAGTGTCAAGTGGGTACTAGACCTATCAGGGGGATCACTTCATAAGTTATATAAATGTCTTACCACTATGCTAATCACTTGAAGCTAATATAATATTGAATGTCAACTATAATTGAAACATTTTAAAAGAAATTTAAAAACAAGAAAGAAAGAAGAAAGGAAGAAAGAAAAGAAGAAAGGAAGAAAGAGTAAGAAAAACCCCAACAGCTAAGACTGCACCCTCACACTGAGCTGGAAGTCTGATGAGGCTACAGTGCAGGGCAGTCACATTTGAGGTTTTTTGGTGTTTTGTTGTTGTTGTTAATCCTCACCCAAGGATTTTTAGAGAGAGTGGAAGGAAGAGGGAGAGACAGAGAGAAACACCGATGTGAGAGAGACACATCAATTGGTTGCACCTCCTGCATGCACCACGACCAGGGCCGGGGAACCTGCAACCAAGGTACGTGCCCTTGACCAGAATGGAACCCGGGACCCTTCAGTCCGCAGGCCGACGCTCTATCCACTGAGCCAAACTGGCTAGGGCACCATTGAGTTTTAACTCTGAGTAGGAAAAGCTCTTTCCACTACACGCCATCCAACCAGATTCAGGGAATGCATTTGCCTCACTCAAGTTGATGTTTCCTAAGATCCCTTGCTGGGAACCAAGGAGCACATTCCCACAGTGTTCCACAAGTTTAAAAATAGTAGCTCCCAGGACTGATTCAGCTGAGAATCCAGCCAAGCAAACTCACCTGGCTCCCAACACTTAGGGTGGCTTAACTCTATCCCAGTGAGCAAAGAGCTCCCCAAACTGAGACACTAAATTGAACAAAAACACCAAGCCCACAGCAGCTTACCCTTTCTCTGCAGGGTGGTGAGAACTCACAGTTCCCTCTCCCCTAGTGGAGACTGACTGTACCTTGTCCCTCTACTCCCAACCACCACCAAGAACTGAAAGGTCAGTCAGTACCCTGGGGGATTCCAGGCCAACCTGACGCTCTCTAGGAATTCTGGGCCAAGGAAGAGCCTGGTGCCTGGGCTTCTTGGCATCATTATGACAGCTGCCACACTCTTGGCTTTGGCATAAAGCAACATGTATACAAAGATCTTTAAAAAAAAAAAAAAAAAAAAAGACAGGCTAGGCCAATGGCAGCAAGACCACAGTCCGACTTGGGAAATGAGGTGCCATCTGCATACAGGTGTAAGCTTGGGGGCTTCCTGCATACCCAAGAGCCAGGCATTCTTCTCAAGGGCCTTTTGTCCACTCACTATCCTCCAGGA